ACACGACGATTTTCCTGGTAGCCCCCAAAACAACAGGATAGTTTTCCATGTAGCCTCCATCACACAGGATAGTTTTCCAGGTAGCCTCCATCAAACAGGATAGTTTTCCAGGTAGCCTCCATCAAACAGGATAGTTTTCCTGGTAACTCCATCACACAGGAAAAACTTTCCTGGTAGCCTCCATCACACAGGATAGTTTTCCTGGTAGATTCCATCACAACAGGATAGTCTTCATGGTAGACTCTCACAAGGATAGTTTTCCTGGTAGCATCCATCATATATATAGTTTTTCTGGTAGACCCCATCAACAGGATAGTTTTCCCGGTAGACTCCATCACACAGGATAGTTTTCCCTTTGGTAGCCTCAATCACAACAGGATAGCTTTCCTTGTAGATTCCATCACACAGGATAGTTTTCCTAGTAGACTCCATCACACAGGGTAGTTTTCCTGGTAGCCTCCACCACACAGGATAGCTTTCCCGTAGATTCCATCACACAGGATAGTTTTCCTGATAGACTCCATTGTACAGGATAATTTTTCTGGTAGACTTCCCCAGGATAGTTTTCCTGGTGGCCTCCATCACAAAGGATAGTTTTCCTCGTAGATTCCATCACACGGGATAGTTTTCCTGGTAGACTCTCACACAGGATGGTTTTCCAGGTAGCCGCCATCACACAGGATAGCTTTCCTGTAGATTCCATCACACAAGATAGTTTTCCTGGAAGCCTCCATCACACAGGATAGTTTTCCTGGTAGCCTCCACACACAGGATAGTTTTCCGGTAGCGTCCATCATACAGGATAATTTTCCTGGTATTTTCCATCGTAGAGGATAGTTTTTCTGGTAGCTTCCATCACAGGATTTTTTCCCTGGTAGCCTCCATCACATAGGATAGTTTCGTGTAGCCACCATCACACAGGATAGTTTTTCCCCGGTAGATTCCTTCACAAAAAAACCGTTCTCCTGGTGGACTCCATTACAAAAGATAGTTTTCCTGGTACCCTCCATCACACACAATAGTTTTCCTGGTATACTCCATCACACAGGATAGTTTTCCTGATAGCCTCCATCATACAGTATAATTTTCCTGGAATACTCCATCACACAGAATAGTTTTCCTGGTAGCCTCCATCACACAGGATAAGTTTCCTGGTAGCCTCAATCACACACGATAATTTTCCTGGTAGCCTCAATCATACAGGATAATTTTCCTGATAGCTTCTATCACCCAGGATAGTTTTCCTGGTAGACTCCATCACACGGGATAATTTTCCCTTGCAACCTCCTCACATAGGATGGTTTTCCTGATAAACTGCACCACACAGGATAGTTTTCCTGGAAGCCTCCATCACACAGGATATGTGGAGAAATTTTCTCCAGGAGGGGGTAAATTTGCCCCCTTCAGCCCCTTTCAGCCCAGAGGGGCCCAGCCATCTCAGAAGGGGCAAGCCTCTTGTTTACTGCTACAGCAAGTTTAAATTTATCCCAGATGCAGTACCAGTATGCGACGTGTGGTCAAGCGACCGCCGCTCCATGCAAGACTCCAGTGTTGCAAAGTGTATTTTAATAAAAGACAGTCCATCTCTTAACTTAGCAGGACAATTAAGGAAAATTCTGCTCCCACTTTATTACCATGGTAAAGATAGTGTAAAAATTGTTGTCTATGCTTAAGACAGAAGAATCAAACATTCTGCTTTGCTTCATCGAGGGAAGTGGTAAGGAAGCAAAAGGTACTAGGTCAGCTTTTCCTTTATATGCGAGGGGCAGTGACGGCGATGGCGTTGGGCGTTGTGGGATTTTTAGATTACTTTTGACTCTACCAAGAGGACACTGATACCAGGATAGCCAACAAAGAACGATATGTGCGTTAGTGTGAACAAAGTGTCTCACAAAACAAATAAACACTTACAGAGAAGTGTGATCAGCTTCTTCAGTGATAAGATTGTGAACAATAAAGACAAATCTTGTAGAACATAAGTGTACCAGTGTGTGTGTTTTCCCATACTGTGGAAGACGTGGACATCCAAGGACCCCTTCAGCTTCTATCAAGTCATCGATACCTGTCGAGGGTGTAAAGAACACCATAGCTCATTTCTACAAGAGCAAAGTGGGTTATAGATTTCTTGTAGTATGGGGGACTGCACAGTTCTTTTTGTCGCAAGGAGTTTGTAATCAAAACCTATAGGGCGGCGGTGAGGTGCGGACTTTTGAGTCCACCAAGTACGTAATTTTGTCAGCATTCAGTGAATGAAATATGCTTTCGAGCCAAAGTCCTTCAAAAAAGCTTAAAAATAGTGTTTTACATACAAACATTAAAGTCCTCCAGAGGGCTCACAGGAATGGGCAGCAAAAGAAAAAGGCGTTCACCCGCATTCACCCCAAA